TCTTCTTCCTCTTCCTCCTCATCGTCAGAGCCTACCACGACTATTCTCTCACAGGATACTCCCGACTGGACTATACCCATCCACTTCTGTTCGCCCATGGTGCCTTTGATAAGGCAAGTCCACTTAGTCCTCTGTCGTAGATCCAACGACCAACAGTCGTCAAAGGTCACCTCCCGATCGCCATACTGAACAACAACTACATCCCATACCACACCTCGGCCACATCCTACACCCCTCACCTCCCGCAGCCCTCCATACACGATAAGTGTATGACCCTTAACCAAGAGGGCCGAGTTGATCCTCTCTACTGGTAGATCAACATTACCAGTCTTCAACGCCTCAGCAGCAGTCATCTTCCCAAGGCCCGTAGCCCCCGCCTCTACTACAGTCTCCTCCTCCTCCTCGACCAGAGTCGGGCACACCTCCTCATCTATAACCCCCAACTCCTCATCCCTGCGAGCCCTCAGTACCTCCGGCGTGGCAATAGGCTCCTCCACCACCGCTGGAAGAGTCCTGAGGGAAAACGTCATCGCCTCTGCTCAACACGATGGTCCAATAAATATTGTATTATATCTGTCTATACAATTATATCGAAATTATTATGAGACCCCCATAGATTCGCCAGGAGCTCGATGGCAGTGAGCCACATTCCATACTATTCACCACCCCGGAGCCATCACCTCCCCTGCATACCCAGGTTCAGTTACCATAAAACTATATCCATTTTTTACATTATAGATTTAATAACAATATAATATTCATCCTAAATTTCCAACCCGGGCATTACCCCGCTTCGGGACCTTTCTGGTCGCCATCACTCTCCTCCGAAGAAGTTCGATCTTCCTCCGGAATTATCATCGTCACCAACTGTCCGTTCTCATCCACGTATTCAAACTGCCACTCAAACTTCGCCATTTCGTCCTCCTCCTCTTCCTCCTCCTCTACCCTCTCCGTCGGGTCCTGAAAGACTTCTCGCCGTCCGAAAAGTGAAATATTTAAACCCACCGCGACTGAGGCCGTAAATGTAGAAGTGTTTGCTTTGCTCGATCGCCCCTCCCTATTTCGTCGACTCTTCTTCTCTGGAGACTTCTTCTGACCCAACTTATAGTCCAACACATACCACCTTTCCGTGAAATCATCCTCCCAATCCCCCCCATCACCAACACTCACTACCTCTTCCTCTCCATATCGAAGGCATGCAGATCGTTGTAGAATCTGCTCTCGAGAGTCAGGCCGGGCTTATCTTCATCGGTGACTCCACCAAACACCAAACATCGATTCTTGTACACCGCACAGGCCATACCACTCCTCTTCGAAGGTGCCGGACCTAGGGTCGGGGGTCTCGATATTCATCTCTGCCCTCACCTACTACCCTTTTTTGAGATTCGCTCCCACGATGGTTTCAATGTATTAGCAGCATTCTTCAAATTCAATGCCCACATATCCCTGAATAGCCCTTTGCTCAATCGTCACGCGCCACAAAATTACGTATGTTCCGTGCCGCTGGTCGCATTCTGCTTAGTATCGCGACTATAACCACCATAAAGGTAAGCCACATCCGTTTGGGAATGTACAAAGAACAAACACCCTCCCTGAAAAAACCCAACTTCATCTCCACCAACCACGCCCTTCCTACCCGAGGGGCCGGCAGGTTCAGCGAAGGCACTGCGGAAAAGTCAACTTTATACCATTTCTCCTCAGTGATGTTCAACATATAGAGAT